TCCCATTACCATAGTGTAATTTAGGATTTATATCAGGCCCATCTGACAATATTCAGAGTGGATATAAGTGAATCTTGTCCTACCAGGCTGCTGAGGAAGGGGTCTGGATTTTCACGCAGGGCATGGAAAAATGTATGCATGCCTACTGGTGAATACATGTGTGCAGGCTTGAAGTCATGTCTACTCCACAAATTTCCTTCCAAAGGGAAGTAAGGATATGGTGGGACTAAAAAGCTAGTTACCAACACAAATATCAGCAGAAATGGCCCCAAGCCTACCCTTTTGTCACATTCTGTAGCAATTTGACTTTCACTTGAAATTTATTTTACCTAAGCAGAAGACTTCAAATCTGTGGTTCTTCCCCTCCCTCTTAGGTATCTAATAAGGATATGCCTAAAGCAAATGTACTGGCAGAAGTGTCTGCCAGCAGAGGCTGCAATAGCTCTTATCAGGCAACTGACCTCAGGCAATTCACTTCCCTAATAGGGTCATTGTTAAGAGTGGATGAACTAGTACAGACACAGCACCTGGCACGGAACAAGCAATCAATAAATCCAAGTTAACAAAACCCGAATCCATCTCATCTTCTCACAAAACGTGTCACTGACACAGGGATTGGCATGACCATCCTCCCAATCGCCTGGCTCAAATCCCAACTTTTGGGCTGACTCCTTCCTCTCCAGTCCCAAGACCTCCTACCTCCCCTGCCTCCAACACTATGTCCCAATCCAGCCTTCTGCTGCACACAGGTTGGACCATATCACTCTCTTGCTCAAAATTGCTATGGTTTGTCCATTCCCAAGCCGATTTCCATTCCAACCTTATTTCCATCTATTAACAAAGCAACCCAGTCACCAAATTATCTATGGGTTTTTTACTATGCCCACATTTCTGCTTTGCTCCAGCTTTCACTCGCCCTTGAAAAGAGTGTCCCTACAAATTTCTGCCTCTCTAAATCCTACCAGTATTCAAAGGTAGGTACAAATGCCCCTTCTTCTATAAAGCTGTCAGAGCCTTACCCAGTGACAATTAAGCTTTCTTTGACTTGTGCCTCATCGCATTCTGTGCCTATTAGAGCATTAGTCCCTGTCTTCTTTATAAATCTCTGTGATGTCTCCCCTGCATAATGTAAGATTCACAATTGCAAGGACTATGCCTTAAAAAAAAAAATCCTCTGCGCCTTGGACAGTGTCCTGCACATACNTACTACAAGGAAGAATAAAACAAGCTCAATATTTGGAAGTTACAACAGAGGCCATAAAAGTTTTATCGCTCATTGGTTTTACCAATTTATTTACTTAAGACTTGGAATTTCAGCAAAACTTTTCTTCTCAATTACTTAAAGGACTGAAATCAGTTACCACTTTTACACTAGAACAATTGAAACCGTTTTTTTTCCCTCCTCAAAAAGTTTCACAGTAAATGTACATATTTATTCAGTACTCACCATAACTTTGTCCTTCACATTTCTGACCTTGTTGTCAAGCTCCTTCTGTTTATCTAACATCACAGTGTTCTGAATACTCCCCGACTGAGCCTGTAATGAGAGGTACAAGGTTAACAGCAATCATTTCCTCTGGCGTATTTACCTGCTGGTTACCCTCCAAAGTCAAGTCTACACCGTGTGAACCCCCCTACCTCCCAGACCTTCCAAAGCTTCCTCACAGGCTTCCCACATGAGAATCTGTAAGAAATAGCTCAGTTCCCAAAGGCTCTGGGAAATGCTGGCAAGTTGTTAACACAACAGAAAGACTAGACTCAGTTCACACCTAAAATAAACAAGCAGTATTTCTGAATTTCCTTTAATTCATACAGCTGCATGGCATCACATGGGAATTTATTTCAGGTTTCTCAAATTCTGTAGACAAGATTCTTCTTCTTAACCCTGTACTTATTTGTCTCAAAGCTTTATGGTTCACAGTGTGGTCCCCAGACTAGCAGCATCTCGCCACCTGGGAGCTTGTTGGAAATGCAGAATCTAATCTGATTACTGAATCAGAAACCCCATTCTGACAAGATCCCAGGTGATTGAGAGGCACATCAAAATTGAACAGCACTGCTGATAAGGACTTCCATGAATATCTGTTACTCTAATAATGAATATCAACCCAGACTCAATGGGAGTATTTAGTATTCATCTTTGTTATCAGAAGACTCAGACACAGCAGCACCTATTTGTTCATTACATATGGTGTTCCCTGATTTACTCATGTAGCACACACTTACAAGGTGCTAAGACAAGGTCAGACAATGTCTTAGGCCCAGGCAATGCGGTGGAAAACAAGGCGGACCTTGTTCTCATAGAGGTTAGACTCTAGAAAGAATCTATTTTTGTTTAGTTAAGAGCCCATGGGCAAAACCTGTGCCCATTAACCTGTCTTACATAGTGCCCACCCCAGTTCTATGTGGGCATTTCTGTATTTTCAAATTTATCAGTCTTTTCTCTTTTTATACCTGGATTTTCCCTCATACTGGAACGCCTTTCCATATTGATAGATTATAAAAGAGTTCACCCCTTATTTTTCCCCTAAGCACTTGCATGGTTTCATTGTTTTTACTTTTAGATCTCTGATACATCTGAATTTTATTCTTATGTTTAATGTGAAGTATGGGTCCAATTTTAACTTCTTCCCAAGGCTATCCATTTTTCTTAACAACATTTAATGGAAAGTTCATATTTTCACCACTGCTTTGAGTTGCTACCTTCATCATATAAATTTCCATATGCACCTGGGTTTACTTCTAGATTTTCTCTTCTTTCCCATTGGTCTTTCTCTTCATAAGCCTGAAGCACTGAACAATGTTTAATTATGGAGGGTTTATAGTCCCATCTCACTGCAATACTTTTTCATGAGTTTCCTTGCTATTCTTGCATGTTTATTTTTCATATGAACTTCAGGATCAATTTGTATAAGTCCAAAAAATGACTTATTCTATTGGGATCACATTAAAATTATGAATTAACTCAGGAAAAGCTGATATCTTTATGATGTTGTTTTTAATTCTTATGCTTCTCATGGTTTTCTTTTGTCTAACTGCATTGGTCGATACTGCCAATACAATGCTATATAGCAGTGGCAATAATAGACATCCTTGCTGTGGTCCTGATTACTGATGTTTTCCCAATTAAGTAAGATACTATTTCTAGAACTGAGAGATATAGATCTTAATATATTAAGGAGGTATCCATCAATTACTATTTTAATGAGTTGTTTTTTTTAATCAGGGATGGGTGCTGGATTTTTTTCAGATCTTTTCAGCATCTATGGAGATAAGCATATACTTTTTCTCTTTGTATCTACTTATGTAATGAATTACATTAATGGGTTATCCAGTCACAATCTATCCTTGTAATTCTATTATTAAATAATATTAAAATATTATAATATAAAATATATAATATAAAATTATAATATAAAAACTATAAAATAAAAATAAAAATGAAATAATAAACTAATTAATCCTAATAGTTTATTTAGGATTTTTACACTGATATTTTTAAGTGCGATTGGTCCAAAATTTTTTTTGTTCTATCTTTATTAGGTTTAGGTAATCAAAGCTATTTTGTTCACAGAAAACATTTGGAAGTTTTCCTTCATTTTATATACTCTGCAATAGCAGAAATTCAAAGCAACTGAATGATATTGGTGGAAAGTATGTATCAGAACACATGAGAATGGTTGGCATCCCCAGATGCCACATGTCACTAAGTGAGAAACGGGACTGCTCAGGCCACTCAGAAAGAGCCATCGTCTTGAGCAGCTCCATAAGACTTCCTGCCTCTGCAGGGAAATCTGTTTCTAAGCCAGCTGGATGTGACTCCATGTCCTATGGGCTCTGCGAACAGCTGGGACACTTCACCTATTGGAGGACCCTGACTCCTGTCCTCCTCCCTAAACTATCAAGGGTTAGCTTAGTGAACAGGGATACATACAATCATGGCTGTAAGAAAGCAGCCGCACTCCAGCTCCATTCTCTCACTGCTGTCACATTGGGAGATGCTTGGTGGAACGCATCTGGTGACTGTGGCGGAGGTGTAAGAAGCCTCCTGCTTCAAACTTAAGCAGTAGTCCATCCAAGTTATTAAAACCCTTTGGTATTCTCTTCTTCCTCTTACTACCTGCTCCATTCCTCTACCCCACTCTCACCTGTTAAGCTGCTGCTTCGCTGGTAACTTACCACCCTGTGCTTAAAAAAAAAATAGCAATATTGCTATGACCACTATACATTTTT